GCATTGTAGATGAACGCACTTACGACTTAAACAACCTCTAAAATATGGGTTGTCAGTTGCAACTCGGCTTCCATGGAGCCCATTGATTGATACAATGCCAGCGCAAAACTAGCTTGATTCCCAAATAGGTCTCCTTGGTATTTCACAGCAGTGAGAGATGCGACATGGGAGGCAGTATGTTCTTCACTTAAAGAATCTGTCACGATACCGTATTAGTTTTTCAATCAACCTTCCCAAGTTCATGTTTTGCTTCGATTATTCTTCTGCTCTTGATTTAGGTTATAAACTTCTTGGCTGCTCAGACACGTTATATTAGACAGAGACAGAGACCGATCAGTTGTTCACTGCGAATTCGAAACAAACAAATTTACCAGTTGGGAATGCAATGTCATGGTCTGTAATGTGAAAAGAAAATACATATTGCCTTTTTTGCATAATTCTGCTCTCTAAGCTTTTCTTTTTTTACCACATAACATACTAGCGGACAGATGATAGTCAAAACACACCTAATGTGGGCGTTGATTAATCCCAAAACTACGTTGCATACTAATGCTAGATCCAACAATACAGAAAGAAAGGGAAGAAAAGGTCACAATCATGCTTAAAGAGTTTGTAAACCCACAAGCTCAAGACGGTTTTTTCTTCCGTGTGCTCTGTGTGATGCGCCTCAAATCTTGTGTACCGCTTCTTATTCCCCTATGTATAGAACAACAGGATATCGTAAAAACTACACGAATATTCAGTAAGCTCTAAGACAGGAGAATATCAAGTCCCAACAAGACATACCTTTGATACAAGTAAACGAAAAGATAGAACAGTGGCAACAGCAAGAGAACCAGAAGGGACATGGAGATGAAGAATATGCTTATTCTCTTCTGCGTAGAAACAATGAAAGATTGTAGTCAACGAGAACAGGGGGAGGAAGAGAAAAAATGAGCAACGCTACATATGAGCTTACAGTATGTAATACTGACAACAACAATTTGCAGTACTACATAATCGCATTAAATAGCTTGACCTGAATGCTACAGGTAATGGACACTTGAAGAACCTACTTAAGTGTTCCTCGCACCTGTCTGTCAGAGCTTCTGTTTTACCATGGGGAAATCTAGTCTACAAAAACAAGCCAGCCTATAGATCCTAATCAACTATTCATGCTCAAGTCAAGCTTATACTAGTCAGGCGAAGTGAGTGTCCAAGAACATTGAGCAACAATAACTATAGCAAAGTTAAATACCGGAACTTACTCTGCGACCCTTGGAGAAGGGCTTTGGACGTCCATTGCAGGTGTGGGCATCACAAAATTGACGCAAGAAGAATTCTGCCAAGATAGTGGCAAATACAGGGAATACTAGTTCAATAAAGTAGCCAAGTAGGACGATACATGGCAAGAGATGCCTCAGAATTGTAAAAGTACCATGTAGACGGCTCGCTGAAGGACCTTCTTTGACTGGAAAGCAGCTATCTGCTAAGCTCTGCAACAATCACCAATATGCAAATTCAAAGGGATTGCCATTTAAAGACCATATGTAACTGCAAGTAAGCAACCGAAACCATAATTCACTTCATTACACATGTAATTCTTGATCACCTCACATAAATGTTTATTCCTCACTGCAGCGGCAGGATTACACTTAGTCTTCTTCTGCACGGAATCCATCATAAGGTCACAATGCAATGCTCCACATAAATCTGCCAAGCATTTTCCTTGACTCTGTCAGAGGACAAGTTTGTCACGTTTCACAAATTTTAGGCTCTAAAAAATATCGATAGACAAAAATGCCTATATCAGCTGAAAGCTCATAGAGTATGGTAAATAACTTTAAGATGAGGGGATTAGCTGCAATGGTGTAGCATCACCATTCCTCAGAACTATAATCAAGCAAAAACATCCAGTACTACCAGAAGGCAAATTTCACTTGAAAGTGGATAAGAATTAGGCAACAGATTATGCAAGTAAATGAATAGAAGGACTCGACAAAGTACAGGTAGTGATAGACTATCTATCTTTCTTATATGCTGTTCATATTTTCTTGCCTAATAAAAGCAAAACCAAGGGCCTTTCGTCATCCCTTCCGGAAACCTCTGACCTTGTCAACTCAGGTCCTGATTAATGCTACACCTTGTACAGCTACTACCTTTGAATCAAATAAACCATACGATGCATGAGGAGGCTTTCAAATGGTAGATACCTACAATGGTGATGGCATGGAACAAATTCTTATAATCTTTATAGAACGCGACAGGGTTTTAATCTGGCTCTGGAAAATTTTGGAGTTCCTAACAATGTAAATCTCTGAGTATTGAGAAAATTCCATCATAGTTCTCTAAGTTTCAACTCAAATTAACAATGGATTATGATAAGCATGGTCACCGATTTCATTTTAGATCCAGAGATCACTAGATCACTACATCCACCCACATTTACGATGTCCCTTCCACAAAGTTATTCAAAGTTTAAACTGCCTTTGGAAATCCCACTTCATGTCAAATGAAATGACCACAAGCAATCAAAAGAAGTTGCCCAAGAGAACAGATGCATTTTCCAGCTTATAATTTGTACGCAATTGTAAATATAACTGCACTAGCAAGTCACACCGCATTGAGTTACATAGGTATATACACATATATACATAAACATGAGGACCTACATACACCGATACCTACTGTACAATGGCCCAACAGTTTAATACAAGCAAAAATGGAAAAATGCACTAACTTCAACAGGTTATTAGCAAGGTTGAGCCCTAGCATTTTCAAGTTTTACTTCTGGACAAATCCCTGACATGTATAATGAGATAAATGTGGTCTTTATTGATTTTGATTAGGTTGTACTAGGCTGAAATAGACTTATCCGGAGCTCGAAAGGAACTGATATTTCGTATTATGGTAATGTAAATGTCAGGGTGAGGCAAAGTAGATAATGCTATTGATTGATTGAAAGATGTCACAAACTTGGGCCCACTTACCACATTTAGTAAATCATAGTGCCTGTTATCAAAATGCTGATCGAGATATTTTTCTTCATAGAAGCTCTTTCGACAATACCCACATCGCCATTCATTTATATCCAAATGGCTCTTATGTTGCTCCTGATCTCTGTACAAGTTATGATCGGGGTGAAGTCTACACTTATTTGGAAACTGGTACCTCTCTTTTTCTATAAAGGGCATGAGATACTGCAAGAACCATGGGAAAGGTGTGTATTTTGGTTAAAAGAAAATCAAAGGAACATCCCCAGAGTGAAAAGTCTTTTTATCTTTGATTACCTCCTCAATTATTTTTGATGCAGCTCTGCTCCTCTCTCTCGAACAGTGTACTTCATGTTCATGGATATTCCCCTGATATTGCTTTAAGCCTCTGAATAGACATCCAAACTCTAGATCATCAGACATATGAACAGGTAAAGCAGAAGCAAAGATGGTATATGCACGTTTTAAGTGGACCGAACAATAAGATGTTGGGTGTTGAAGTGTCAACTTTCAAGTTGCTTAATCTTTTTCACCGAACACGAAACCAGCGCCTCAAGTTCCAGATGGTTAAGCAACATTACCTTGCAGCTGCAGACCCTTGAAACCCCTGGAGCATTACAACGAACTTTCAGGTTCTATGTGGTGTAAAGATGATCAATCAGCAATACTAAATAGAACACAAGCAAACGCCACCAAAGAAACAAAATCAACCATCATCGTATCAGGGACAAGAACACATTGCCAGCAACAACTCCAGAGAAAACTTGAACAAGAACTCGAGGAACTACCCAATTCAGTAGCCAGACCGAAAGCAATACCAAAATTGCCCAAACAAATTAAGAACCCCACACAATTGACCTGAGGACGCAAAACAATCACTCGATGACGAAAATGATCCAGGAGGTAGACATAAACTACCCATCCAGCGGGGGCAGCTACACTCTCATCAACCTCGCCATAGCGCCGCTCGCGCCTTCCATCTCTAACCCACATCCAGCACTAACCGAAACCTGCTCTCGGGACCTCGAGGAATCAACAATCAACGAAAAGCCTAGTCAATACAAGTCAAACCAATCCCCCCCGTCCTAATCTGTAGATCCTCTCGCCTCCTCAGCTTGAATTCCGCGTTTCGGCACGACCCAACTCCATCAACCCATCAGAGCCATCCCTCAAAAGACCCTAGACCCATGAATCGCCGGGGCTCGCTCAATCCATAACCATCTCAGCTGAACAGAGAAGCGGAAGTACACTGAAAAAAAGAAGCGACGATTACGTACCCGGTTCGCCTGCGGAGAAGGCGAGCTTGAAGAGGCTCGACCCAATTCAAGGCAGAGCGATAGAGCGACGAAGAGCAAGGTGACAGGGTTAGGCTTCAGGCGTCGCTCCATGTTCGCCTCCGCCATCTCCCTCCATGCGCGAGCTCGTCGATGCGCATACGCACCGAAATGGAGAAAGCGCGCAAAAAAGAAAAAAAAAGGAGCTGCCTACGTTTTGCGGGACCTGCTTGGCCAATCAAGGCTTGCCACGTCGCGCGTTGCGATGGGACTATGCCGAATGAACCGTGGGCCTAACGGGCCGGATCAGGCCCGGTTGGTGCTGGCCCGGTTTTTCTAAATTATGTAGAGTCCGGTTTGTAAAATTGAATATGCTAAGTGAAAGAGTACAAGCCAAACCAAAATTAATAAATTTTCACATCAAATCTTTCGACACCAAATCGGCCAAATCTAACTTATATAGATAAAATTCTTTCAATATGGACATCGCATGAATATTCATAGTGGTTATACTTTATGCACGTCAAACTCGTTAACTATATTAATAAAATTTCTCCACTCTTATTCACGTGGGTATTCTCGAATTTATCTGCATCATATTATAATGCACGATCAATTAATTTAATTTGGTCCGATTTGCAAAGACCGAGCAGAAAATTTGTGAAAATATCAATTTAATTTGGTCGAATTTAGAAAAAAAATCGTGAAAATGTATAACCAATTTGAAAACAAAGACTTGACAAGGGAGAAAAAAGGTCCGGAGAAAGAGTCTCAGCAAACGCTAGGTCGAACTTAGAAGCGGAGAGCGCTGCGGGAAGTGATAAAGCGGCGAGGCGATCAGGCGAACCGCCGGCGCCGGTAGATCAACGATTCCGAGGGCGGCCGGCCGGTCACCGGAGCCCAGAGCCGCCGCCGCCGACAGCCGCCGTCGCCGGCGCTGTTTTAACAGCACCTCCAACACCGTCCCGCATCGTCCGATAGCCCAGCTGAGGCGAGGTTTTGCGGAGATAGGTAAAGCCTTTTTGGCTCGCGTGGAAGGCAACACCTTCACATCTCTCTCTCTCTCTCTCTCTCTCTCTCTCTTCTCTCAAAGCTTCAGCTTTTACTTTCAGATTGAGCTTGCCGACGCGGGGCTGCAAACGGAAATGGCGAAGAATAAGCAACCGAGCGGTGGGAAGGGGGAGATGGGTGGTCCTGAATTGGACATCAGGACGATCATGAGGGATGTCGAGTTCCTAGGTATTTCGCTCGCCATCTTCTTCTCGTTCGTTCCTTTTCTTTTCTTTTCTTTGTTTCCGGTTTGAATTGCGGATGCGGGCTTAGGGTTTCCGAAGGCGTGTTCGCGATAACTGTACATCCCGGTTATACAAGAGTTTGAATCTGTTTCAGCATGACCTGCGTTTGTGACAATGTTAAAGCTATTAGGGTATGGGTTAGTTGAGTGCCTGTGGATGTTTACGAGGCTTTTGTGGTTTGGCGATGCGTCGGTTGGAATTTCTGATGCTTCTTCCGATGAGAAGTAGAGACGAAATATAGATTAAGCAAATTGAGGCAAGCTTCGTCTGGATAAGCTTATTGATACGCGCGGCGGCAGATTCGAGCCTCTTGTGCATTCTGCGTGCACGCAGGACATTGTGTAACACTGTAGTTGTATTTTGATGGCTTTATGAAGATTGCCCCGTGTTGAAGTTTCCTGATGTAATGGGCTATCTTTGGGTTTGGGGTCGTGACATTCGTGAAGGAAGTAGAGATACTTTAGGAAAATCCTCAGGAATGACTTGGCTTGTTTATTCGAGCTTGAGCTTGGTTGAGTTTACATAGGGGATTTTGCTTCTTTTGTACATATCTGTGGTCTGCCATGGGCATCTTAATCAAAGCCAACATGGTGGATGATTAGTGTTGTTATTTCTGGGGTATTGCGCATGGTATGTTTATGGGGAATGTCTGGTTTAAGTTTCGGTGTCTTTTGTGCCCGTGTGCTTTGAGGTAGCGAGCCTTCTTCATGATTTTTTGTACTTATAAATCCCCTATCTTTTGAAAGACAGACTTCCTTTGCATCAATTTTTCAAAAATCTCTGTTCATGCCTTAAATTGCTGGAAGTTTCCTTCAGGGTCATCTCGTATGACATGGAAAGAGAGGAAGGAGCTAGAGAATAAGAAGGTGGTTTCCTTAGGTGGTAAGGTGAGCACATTGGCCTGCCTTACTATCAAGTAACCGGAGCTTGTATTTCATTCATCTCATCTGGGCTTCTCTTGAACACAGGCACCTAAGAAGCAGCGACTACCTCTGAGTGTGGCTCGACCCATGATGAAGAACCAGAAGAAAAGAGAAGAGAAAATGTTGCAAGAGGTGATTTCAAAACACTGCAATTCTGATAATCTGTACGTAACTGTTCGTTCCTAACGATATGTTTCCATGCTCTAGAATATGATCCTTCAACGATTTGGGGGGAAGTCTAGTAGCTGGAGCAGCACAGGGAGGCTCGAGGAGAGGCGCAAGCCCGAGGACCGAGTATTGAAGTCGATCGATGGTAATTTCAAGAAAGGGATCCTCGATGTGAAGCATTTACTACAACCAACCCCATCCGGAGATAGTGAGAACAACAAGAGGACGAGTTTCAGAGGGAAAGGCAAGAAGAAAGCCGGGAAGAAGTCCCGAGGTAAGAAGCGCGGTGGTAAGAAGCGCCATTGATCGGCAGTCCACTGAATTTGAAGTTCCTTATGCGACAGAACAGATGGAGAGTAATGCTGGCCAATGCTGCCCTGGATGATTTGTGGTGGGGATACACATTCTAGGTGACTGTCCTGTCCAATGTATCGAGTTTTTATTTTCTTTGTAGCTGTTCTTTGGAACTTCTTTCTCTTCGGGTTAGCTCTTTATCTTGTAGTTGCTTGATCCAAAAAGTTTTGACAACATGCCTCCTCAAACCAGGAAAAGAATTTGAGAGAGGTTTGAAATTTTTGTAAGTATAGGGCTCTTAGGGTGATTGGGCCAAGTGGGACAAAATGTCGTTCATCATAATTAACTTTAATTAATGTAGGGCGATTGTTGCGACGCGCGATGTCGAGTATATTAGAGACCACTTATAGAGTTGACATGCTAAGTGATGTGATAAACTGATTGGTCGAAGAAAAGATGTAAAGAAGTCTATCATATTTAGCATCTAAAGAATCGGTCTTAGTAGATCTAACATTTTTCTTTTCCCTACCAATTTCAGCCCGTTGGAAATGAAGTTTTTCCACCAGAGACTATAATCGGTACCCTACTTTGCACCTGGCCCAGCAAGTAATTACCTAAAGCAAAGTAGGTTATTAAGAGTTTAATCCGTTTGCTTTGTAGAAACGAACAATTTGGAAAATATTTTTTCAAACATAATTGTTTGTATTGCTTACAAAAATGAATAGACGAAGGATATTTTCATCGTTCACGAAGATATTTAGACATAAATTGCCTCTAATAATAAAAATATTTTTCATGTATTAATTATTCCAAGTGATAGAATTTTTCAAATCGTAACAAACTGATCCTAAGACCATTTGTACAAAATATTTACAACCTCAAGAGGATGTTTTAACGTCGAGACAAAAGGACAGGGAAAAAGGAAATGCAAGGAAAATGAAAGAAAATACTTCATTAGGCAATGATTTTTTTTGTACAAGAGACTCCTTGGGGGCTTTGGCGATTCTTCTAACAACTAAAATTCACGCCTAATTTGTGTTGCTCAAATGTATTTTTTGTCGCGATTTCTATATATGAAATGCGATAATGCACAAACTTCACAAGACAAAAGTTCGATAGATGCTCGTGAACCCGTCATCCGAAAAGGCAAATTAGTCGCAGTCGTCGCCAAACTTTTTGCCCGTCTCAGGCAGGACCAGCGCGTCCCGCCACCTGCATAGCCTACTCAGATGAAGGGAAGACTTTCCACAGCATCCATCCATTATCCAAGAGGAGGAGATCTGCAAAGCTGTATTAACACTTATTATAATGTAATTCCCACCCCATCGTCAACTGCTCTTCGTGGTTGATTCTGTCTTCCATTAACACTTCATGAATTCTTTATTGGGGCCCTTCCCATCCTTCTCTCCTCTCCTCTTCACGTTGCAGCAGCTGATGATGATGAGAATGAAGAAGGGAAAATAAAATATCGCGCTTTGACTTTCGCCCGGCGCTTCTTCCTTGAATGGTCTCTCGACCCAGATGAGATCTTCAGCTCGCTGAAGGGATACCCATTTGAAACGGGGTCTTGAGCTGAGCTCCGGATGGCCAAAGTCTTGATCTTGGTGATGGCGGTGATGGCGGTGGTGGCGGCGGCGTGGCCGGTTCGGGGGAACCTCGAATCGGGCCAGGAGGCGCCGTACAGGATTCACACGCTGTTCTCGGTGGAGTGCCAGAACTACTTCGACTGGCAAACGGTGGGCCTCGTCCACAGCTTCGAGAAGGCCCGGCAGCCCGGCCCGATAACCCGGCTGCTCAGCTGTACGGACGACGAGCTCAGGAGCTACAGAGGGAAGGACTTGGCTCCGACCATGGTGGTGCCTTCCATGAGCAGACATCCCAAGACTGGTGATTGGTAAGATTCTTCCAAGTGCTTGGTCTTTCTCCGATGTTGCTGAGTTGGTCTTGGTTGCGTTTCTATACTTTCCATGCTTTGATCAACTTTGTGTCTTTGTTCAGTTAACTGTTACTCTGGTGGGAATTGAATTCAGGCGTAGTTTTAGGATCCTGGATGGAAAAATGCTAATAAAATGGTATGAGTGAGTTTGTCTTTGTTTATAAGCTAAGCCAGTCAGTGTTACTATCTGTTTCCAGGTTTTCCTTTCGTTCGTTCTTTATTTGTCCCCCTTAAAAGAACGTCTTAGAATTCGCATCGGTTAAAGGCCATATCTAGCAAAAGACTTGCATTTGTCAACATCTTTCTGGTTGCTAGTGGTCCTGCTGATATGTGGCACCAGAGTTCATTGTCTGGTTAATGCTTGACCGCATGAGCCTTGGCTCTGAGGTAGTTTTGCGCTTTTGTCTGCTTCTTCTGCTTGTTTTTCCTCTTCATCATGCCAAAAAGAATGGTGGTGCTGGAGTGTGGAAGAAAAGATTAATGTTTTGTGCTGAGAAAGCAAAATTTAATAGAATCATACATGTGAAGAGAAATGAGCATTAGCAGTATACATTGACCCAGAGATTGGTGACATACTCGAGATGATCTCTCTAATGATTTGTTGTCCTGCTTTTGAGCCAAATAGAATCTATGTGAAAGGAGTGAATGCTTGAACAGGCCGTACAACAGTGAGCATGTAGTTCAGAACAACTGAACATCTCCTTTTCTAATACAAGGACCACAGTATTTGACCATTTATCCCTTTACCAATTCCATCAACAACAGTTCTCAGCTAACCTATCAACAAGGGCTGGCCTGACCGCGCATGTTCACTATCTTCCCCTTAAATTATTTATACATTACATGACAACTCCCCTCCTCAAATGCCCTTCGACTAATACTATGGTCTTTTCTTTCTTTCTAGAATATCTGCTAAGTCTTTTCTGAAAATTTGTAGGTACCCTGCAATCAACAAGCCTGCTGGCATTGTCCACTGGCTTAAGCATAGCAAAGATGCGGAAAATGTGGATTGGGTTGTGATTCTAGATGCTGACATGATCATCAGAGGTCCAATCATACCCTGGGAACTTGGTGCAGAGAAAGGCAGACCGGTGGCTGCGTATTATGGGTACTCTTCCTCTTCTTTTCCATGAAGGATTCATATGGTTCTTGCCAATGTTTTTCTTCTGCGTCCACTTTTAGATACTGTTTCCAACTAGGGAAATCTAAGAGAGAGGAGTGAAAACGAAATAACTGAAGGCAATAGAAATAGAGACCTTGGGTTGGATGAAATTAGAGAAGACAGGAGAACTTATGGCAACTGGCAAGTACTGCAATTTTCAGTGGAAGGCAGTGACGTGAATGTAATATTGTCTTTGTTTGCACTTTAAGGTGAGAGAGCTAAATAATGAGACTCTAACCTGGGCAAAGTGTCTAGGGAATGGTAGTCTCCACAACTTTGCCAACATAAAGGAAGATGTGACCTAACGATAGGGGCAAAAGCCAAGAAGGGCGATGGAGGCCTAAGGAGACATGGACAAAAGCCTTACCAAAGATTACATATATTCGAAGCTCAAGGGGGGGGGGGGGGAGGGAGGGAGGGAGAGATTATATATATTTGAAGCTCGAGAGGGAGGGGAGAGAGGGAGGGATGGCTCTTAATTTAGTTCATTGGAAGAATTATTCTGTTTGTGGGACGATTTTATTGCTGTATTTTGAAAATTAAGCGGAGCAATTGAAATAGGGATAAGTTCCTGCTGATGATTTCATACATCATGTGTTGCATTTAACTCAGTTGCTGCTTTGTGTGGAACTATATTTATCAATGATGATTTGTTCTTTCAGTTACTTGGTCGGATGTGACAACATTTTGTCTAAATTACACACAAAGCACCCGGAACTTTGTGATAAGGTTGGAGGGCTTTTGGCCATGCATATAGATGATCTCCGGAAATTGGCACCCTTGTGGCTTTCCAAAACAGAAGAAGTGAGGGAAGATAGAGCTCACTGGACCACCAATATAACTGGGGACATCTATGGAAAAGGGTGGATCAGTGAGATGTATGGATACTCATTTGGTGCTGCAGAGGTGACTTTTCTTTCATAAGATCAAGATTCTTATGACTAGATAATTCGGATTGACGAGTTTAAGTCTGTCTCACCTTTTCAGGTTGGTCTCAAGCATAAAATCGACGAAAATCTAATGATTTATCCTGGATATACTCCACGACAAGGATTTGAACCCATTCTTATGCATTATGGTTTACCATTTACCGTTGGGAATTGGTCATTTAGTAAGTTAGATAACCATGAAGATGATATTGTCTATGACTGTGGCCGGCTTTTCCCAGAACCTCCATATCCCAGAGAGGTAATGTTGAAGTAAAACATTTCAGATAGGAGATGGTGTGCTTTCATTATTTCATTGTATGGAAAATGTGGTTGGACTTCATGGTGTGCCGTTATCAATGTTTTCCTGCCTCACAAGTATAGGTTTGGTCTAAGCAAATGGTGTAGAATGTGGGCAGTTAATAGGTCTTGACTAGCCAATGTAGTTCTATGCAATGCACCGGGACGACATTTGATGTCAAAATTCTTACGTTTTACCTTTTTCATACTTGACAACAGATTATGAGCGAGAATGTACAGTTAACATCTTTTCAGTCCTTTCTTTTGACCATCAGCATCTTTTTTGTTGAAGATGTAAAGAAAAACTGTTTGATGTGTAGGTAAAAATGATGGAGCCCAATCCCAATAAAAGGCGAGCCCTCTTTTTGAGCATTGAATGTATCAATACTTTAAATGAGGGTCTTTTAATGCATCATGCAGCTAGAGGGTGTGCAAAACCAAAATGGTCAAAGTACCTTAGCTTCCTCAAAAGCAAAACCTTTGTGGAACTCACTAAACCAAAGCTCTTGAAGCCGAAAAGCCTACAAGCTGAGGAAACAGTCAAGCAGAAACCGACTGATGAAGCTGGAAGGACGTATCCGAAAATCCATACCCTCTTTTCAACAGAATGCACTCCTTACTTTGATTGGCAAACTGTAGGACTTGTTCATAGTTTTCACTTGAGTGGCCAGCCAGGAAATATTACGAGGCTCCTCAGTTGTACAGACGAAGACTTGAAGAAGTATACAGGCCATGACCTGGCTCCCACTCATTACGTCCCTTCCATGAGCCGACATCCTTTGACTGGAGATTGGTAATTCTTTTTTCACATGCTCTGCCTCTTCTAAATAGGTGCCTATATGATCCTTATATATTCGGGGCTGGTATAGCTGGACTCATTCTTTTTTGGTATTGCTACATACACCAATTGAAAATTATTGCGACTACCCATTTTACTTCTATTTCTTCTTTGTTGAAGCGTCATTTATTTGTTTCTCTGTTATCATCACCCCAATTTTTCTTCCTCGCTAATTTCAAATGGAAATGAGACTCAATTCCACGTGCTGTTGAATTGACTCTGTCTGGTCTGGTCTGCACTTAAGGGAATTTCAATGGACTATCAATGGATCTGTGATGTGTAATATGTCGATCCACTTTCTGTGCTACAAAGCAATTTTGACATCTGAAGTGTGTGTAGATATATAAAGATTGTTCAAATGGATACGAATGCTGCTAGAAGTTAGTGAGCAGTGCTGCAGAACCAAATATGATCAAATTGGCTGCAAAGCCACATAAGCAACAACATAAAAAAAAAACCAAGCTTTTCTTTCAGTCTGTCTGTGGTGAGCTATTCTTTGATGACTCTACATTCCCTGAGGGAAGATACATAAAATTCTGAAATAGTTCAACAGCTGCACCAGATCTAGGAATTATTTCTTGTCAATAATGTATCATTCATGTCCCTTGGAATGTTAATTTCTTATTGCTAACCGCCCACTTGCCCCCTCCGTGTCTTTAATTATGATTTGTTGACCTAGAATTGCTAGTATAATGCTTTAAAATTCCACATCTTAAATTGTTTACACCATGGAACTTGACAAACCACTTAAAGACTTCTAAGTAATGTGTAATGATGCTAATGTCTTGGCAGGTATCCAGCGATTAATAAACCTGCTGCCGTCCTTCATTGGCTTAATCACGCAAATATTGATGCTGAGTTTATTGTAATTCTGGATGCTGATATGATCTTGAGAGGGCCAATTACTCCGTGGGAATTCAATGCCGCACGTGGCAGGCCAGTTTCAACTCCTTATGAGTAAGATAACCAAATTGCTTTGTTTCTACATTGGTATTTTTTAAAACCTAATTGTCTATCGAAAAAATGGTGGAATGACTCTTGTCTCGAATGCCAGCTACCTCATTGGCTGTGACAATGTGCTTGCAAAACTCCACACTAGCCACCCTGATGCTTGTGACAAGGTTGGTGGTGTAATAATCATGCATATAGACGATCTCCGGCAATTTGCAATACTATGGTTGCATAAAACAGAGGAGGTTCGGGCTGATAAAGCTCATTATGCCACAAACATCACAGGAGATATATATGAATCTGGGTGGATCAGTGAGATGTATGGTTATTCTTTTGGCGCAGCAGAGGTATTTTTCTGACCTTTTCTTTTGTTTTATCTACACCAATCTGTGCACCTCAATAAGCAACTTCCTGATGACGTGCTACCAAAAGTGTAGATTGTTTTTTTTTGTTCTCTGTACAATTCATTAATGTAGTCAAATGCTCAAGTGGTAGTTCCATAGTACTGTTTTTTTTCCTAATATATATATTTCGCTAATTATGCGTGCAGTTGCAATTGCGGCATCTCATAAGTAGCAAGATTCTGATTTATCCAGGATATGTTCCTGATCCCGGGGTCAAGTATAGAGTTTTTCACTATGGCTTAGAATTCAAGGTAGGGAACTGGAGCTTCGACAAGGCTAAGTATAGAGACTCAGATGTGGTCAATAAATGCTGGGCCAAGTTTCCGGACCCACCTGATCCTTCAACGCTTGATCAGACTGATGAGAACCTGCTCCAACGGGACCTTCTTAGCATAGAATGTGCAAGGACACTGAACGAAGCATTGCGGTTGCATCATGTGAGGAGGAATTGCCCCGACCCAAGTTCTTTGGAGGAATCTGCAATTTCAAGAAAGCTGGGAAGGTATGATAGGAGCTATGCTGCAAAAAGCAATCCCATGCCGACAAGTGTCTCTAAAGAATCCTCTGAAGGGGCCGCCACGGCAGATGCAAAATTTAGTACCTTGAAACTTTGGGTGGTTGCTTTGTGGATATTCTTTGGTCTAGCTTTCTTAACTGTTGGATCGGTCCTGCTATCTGGTCGTAAAGCAAAGAAGACAAAGGGGAAAAGTTACAGAAGTAAGAGGAGATTGTCGCATTCGGGGCTTATGGATGAGAGGTATTGAAGCATTATCAAATCCTCGATTCATTTGAATATCTTTGTTTGCTAATGCGAAAACCTATCCGAACCAATTGAAAGTCTTGACAATGTGAGAGTGAGATATTGGCGGGCGACGAAGCATCGATATTTGCTTGCAAAGTAGGGCACTTTTCCAATTTGCCTGTTTCGAAAACTTCCAGGCTCATGGTTGTTGCAAGAGGCGCTACATTGGCCGGCCCATTTTTGGTGACTGCAATTGCTGTCTAATTTGAGCTTCCTTATTCACCGGAATACCTCAGCAGAATCTGGACACATTGACAGTGTCGTGACGATGAGCACGAGAATACTTTTCTCCCTGTGCCTATTCTCTTCTTTTGCTAAATGATCGTTAGAGAAGAAAATCTTTTTGCCTCAGGTTACTTTATGTCATACCTTATTCAACTTATGCTTGCCTTTTCGGCGATTGACGATGTAATAGATCGAATGATAGAAGCTCAAGAAATACTGTACTGTATATTCTCCATTGTCTGAATCACTATGATTAGGATGAATCTTACACTATTGCTTCCTATGAAGACGGGTCTTTTTCTGCTCCTTTCAAACTTTATGGTTCTTTGATGGGAGATGCCATCGCACCAGCAAGTTGCGGACCACCAGTTCTGTTAAGAGCTAAAAATGTGAGGTCCAGAGTCGCCATCTACAACCATCGTGAGAAGTCGTCCGAGGTACGATTGTAACTCGAAAGGCATGCTTTGTTAAGAGTGATACAGCAACTGCTGGTGGTTCAACTTGTGGCATCATCTCCATCTAGCAAAGCCACAACGTTATGCAAGACCTGATCTTGCTTGACAAGTCTGCTCTGTTTATCCTTTTAGCTGCAGTTGGGTCTTAAATGTGATTCGCAATTTCGAATCACACGGATCATGCAATAAGTTAACGATATCGACGTATATCAATCTCGAGTCCTGGTTACAAGAATCCCAGTTCGCAGGCGGAAGTTTTATTCTTTATCAAATCGGAAGCCAATATGGTTTAGTGCTCGAAAGCTGACTCGGAAACATTATTTAACAAAATTGCAAAAAAGGGCTTTCCTTAATTATTTTTTTGGGTTAATACATTGGAAAACACTAAATCGGTACATCCGTAATAAATTTATCTCCAAATTAATTTTTTGACCACTACAAATCCTAAACTGGTACACTTGTAATAAATTTATCCCGAACTAATTTTTTAACCATAAAAAACCCTAAACCGGTCCCTCCGTTAATTTTCACTAAATTGGATTAATACAATGGAAAATTACAAACTAGTATGTATGTGACAAATAGAGGGTAAAATTTCAAATTGGTACACTTGTCAACAGTCACGTGTCATCTAACTCAGCAATTTAACGGTAAAAGTCAACGGAAACTAACGGAGAGTAAAATTGTCACAGACCTACCGATTTGAGGTTTAAGTTTGGGGTAAATTTATTCTAAACGTACTAATTTGGGGCTTTTTTGTAGTATTAACCCTCTAAAAAAAAGAAAATTCAGGTTCGAGTACGTTTTTTTTGTCTGATCTATTCTAACTCTCAACTCACTATCAGATTTTTGTCCTACCTCTTTGCAAAGCGTGAGAGTCAAACCCACACCTGAAACTAAACGTTCCATCCCTAGCTCTATGAGAATATGGGAAATCGAATTTTCCGCATCCTTCTTTCCAAGTAAGAAGGGTATTTGGTTCGAGAACGTTGAGAAGCCATCGTTGGGCCCTTGCTATTCAAAATTTCCCAGAGCCTTTTTTTTTTGTTGGTTCAAGAAATTTACCAGAATATGACCGTTGAGCGAACGACGTCAATTTCAAAACGTGGGGACCCACAAGAATCCGAAAGACGAAGATCGAATCCCCCACCTCTCTTCTGATGAGGAGAATTCTTTATTCCAAAGTTTAAAAAAACAAGAAAAGGAACAAGATTGCAGTGCACAAATGCGCTCCTGTTTTCTCTCGATCATCGCCATGGACATGTATATAATGCGGTACGACCGTTTTCGCCACTGTTGAGGAAGCAAGCAGCAGCCTTTTCGGCTCTCCATTTTGAATTTCAAATTTTAAATCTTTCCACTTCGGAGTCGACGAGGACGAGACACGACCGCACAATCCCGCCAGGGGAACTGCCGAGCGAAGGAAAGATTCCTGGGTTTCGTGGGTTCGCTTGGTTTGCGGAGGTTGCTGCGAAGCCCATGGGAGAGTCCACTTGTTTCATGCAACCCTTCTCTTATGCTTCGGGCCTTCCCGGGGAACAAAGCAAGGTCAGAACTCTTCTTTTTCTTGCTTCGGTTCTTCTAGTAACGTCGCTTCCACTGAGTTCATGACTCGTAAAAGTGCTGTGGTTCGTTGAGATTCTTGATGGGTTTCCGTTGTTTTCTCTCGAATCATCGTTCTTGAAGTTGCTGCTTCTGTTCTTCACTGTTCTTTACTGTTTGGTTGCTGAGAAGACCGAAGAAATGAAAAAGAAAAGGGCAACCAAACGGAGAATTTCTTGTATATCCAGTGGCGTTCTTGATTCTTGAGTCTTCCACCTTGATTGCGCATACCTTAACTTGCTTACAGCGAAAGACCCAATTTTTTTCTTGGCCAAAGATTTTGTCTTTTTGGGTTGTTAGGAGTGACTTGAGGGCCAATGTACTTTACAGGGGAACCCCATTCATGCCCTAGGGCAATCGGTTTCGTTTGGGAGGTTTGTGACAGATTCGGTCTCGTGGGACAAGTGGTCGGTTTTCCCTCACAACCGCTATGTCGAAGAGGCCGAGAAATTCTCTCGGCCCGGATCAGTTGCGCAGAAGAAAGCCTTCTTCGAAGCTCACTACAAGGAAATCGCTGCCCGAAAAGCCGCAGCCTTGCTTGAGCAGCAAGCAAATGCTGCCTCGGCAGACGCTGCAAAGCCGAGCTGCAAAGTCGAATTGCGTAATCCCACTTGCTATGAGTTCCCTGAAGATGTTTCCAGTTCTCAGACTATTCTAGGCGAATCACAAGAGGTCCAGGAAGATAATAATGAGGTTGGATCGGCTATCGAGGGCAATGAAATTAGCTGGAATGTCGAAGTCAAAGAAACTGTTGAGGAAATTAAAGAAGTTGATAGCATCAAGGAGGATGATGGGGCTGATCTGGTGACTGAAGCACGGGTTCATGCTAATGATTATGTAGCGGAGGAACCATTGGGGCGGTTAGAGGAGGTTGATAACGGCGACGAATTTGAGCAAAGTGGGACACCCGAAATGGAGAAACCTCTTTTGAAGGATGATGGGGCTGATCTGGTAACTGAACCACAGGTTCATACTAATGATTATGTAGCGGAGGATGTTGATAACAGCGAAGAAGTCATTGAAGATGAGCAAAGTGGGACACCCGAAATGGAGAAACCTCTTTTGAAGGTAATGGTTGAGCATAACTTGCATAAAAGAATCTTTTTTACTACAATGCTACTGGTCTTTTTCTTGGTTTTCGTTAATTCTTAAGTGCCATTTCAGCAGAATTCGGCTGATCAAGGTGTTCTAGTTTCCACGATCAAGAAGAAATCAGCAGGCTTCTTGTTAAAGTCGGTGGGGTGCCTGCAAGCATCTAGCAATCCGTCGTCACCGGTGAAATCCACAACAGCAGCACTTAGCTGGAAAGAGAGGTGTGCTACTCCAACCACCACAAAGCCTAAACAAGATTTTACGAACAGAACAAGAACGACCCCGAAGCAGCTTCTTCCCGTCAATTTGACGCCAGTTCGAGAGCTGAAAAGGACAACTCCTATCTTCACTGGGAAGACCGGAAGTTCGAAAATAGGCGTCAATTCCTGTAAGCCGCCAAGTAAAGAATGCCAAACTCCCCTGAAGACTCCTACCATGGTGCAGGTTTATTTTTGCCCCTTTGTCTTGGGAATAAAAGTAGTTTTTTATAATGGATACGTGAATAATTTTATTTCCATTCATAGGTACATGCATATAGGACACCGAAGCATTCCTTGGTCACCCCTCAGTCAGCTAACAGAAGGTATCTGACTATCTGGTCCAATTAGCAGATGGAAACCAATTTGGGTTTTAGTGGATTTGCTATGACTAAACTATTCTCATTACTTGTGTGTCTTGCAGAACGCCATGTGATGGCTCAGCTGTTGAACGCTTGAATACTGGCCCTAAGAGGCGTTCTATTGCGCGAGAGTATGACATCTTATCTCATAGATCATAAAGAGCACTGTCCTAAATGCTAAATTACGGTTGTCCTCTGACTAATGCTGTGAAAAAGAAATGTCATTTGCAACAGCAGTTGAGCTCTTGATACTTAATGACTGAGGATATCATGTCAACCTCAAGCTGTCTGGTTTCTGCAGCGGCATACTACTATACTAGTTGGCTAATGAATGATCATAACAAAAAGTCTGGATAAATATCCATTTGCAACTTTCTGTAACCTGATAACATGCTCTTTATTTGTCGTCAATTCCCAAGGAGATAAAGCGTCCTCTGATTTTTTTGTATTTCCAAATTCTGTAATTGTTAAACCATGGTTTTCCAAATTACATCTAGTACATTAACAATCATTGTCCTGCAAGTCCTGTTCAGATCAGGCAACAATGACTTAAAAGAAAATCCCGAGTTTTACTGATTTTTTTTTCTCATGGCAGTTGTTCAAAGTTCTTGAGCGCCTGCAAGAACAAATTACAGTCACCCAGCTTATCTACACCCTTTAGATTGAGGACCGAGGAAAGGGCTGCCAGGAGAAAAGAGGCAAGACAGCGTTACTCTGTTGTATACATGTTTCGTTTCCCCTTTAATGTTTCAGTCTCGCAAAGGTATGGTCTGACTTTGCATGTATCTCTCAAAACATTTTGCAGAAGCTAGAGGAGAAATTCAATGCTGACGAAAAGGAGAAAGTCCAGCTACAAAAAAAAGTAAAGGTTGTACAAAATTTGCCCAGCTTGAGAGTTTCTCTTGAATTGCGTGCATCACATTTAGTTATAAATAGGATTGAACTTCTTTAATTTTATTGACACTGAAGCAACAGTGCAAGATGTTTCCTTAAATTATGAATGAGGAATTATAGGATCAAAAGTGAGGATCAAGATCAATATTTGGAGTCTCAATTTGGTTAAGTTTGAAGATATTTACTCTCTTCCAACTTCAACAGGAGAAAGCAGAATCAGAAATGAGGAAATTTCGTCAAAGCTTTTGCTTCAAAGCCAGGCCGCTTCCCGATTTCTATAAAGAAAAAACGATGCCGCCGGCGGATGGTCATATGAAAAAGGTACTGCTTTCTTTCATATTACCTAGGCAGGTCACTTGCAACGCCATGGAATTTGATTAATCAAACATGTCACTAGGATTTGCATTCATAACAGAATGAAAATAGTAACGATCGTCAACTTTTGATAGTGTTTCTCTCCTATGTGCAGCCAACAGCGGCTTGTCCTCAAACACCAAAGACGGGAAAAAAGCCAATGACAACCACGACAGTACAGAGCACATCCTTCCTACCACGACAAAGGCCTTTATTCAACAACAACAACGTTACCAAGCAGGTTCAAGGAAAAAATGATCGGATATTATTTCCTCAAGCATCGCTATCTGCACTACTAGCTCACGAGAACAGATCGCCGAACATTCAACTAGGATAAGAGGAACTTTATGGTACTGTATTGATCTTGAGAGAGCTTTTGTTGTCTGGTTGCGAATCCGAGCAACTTCTGCCACTGTATTTTGTCAGAATCGAGCTTTATAATTGCATTGCCAGAGAAGTAGATAAACTTTAATCTGAAATGAGAGAGGCCCCGAATCATGCTGAGCTTTTCTGTAAGCTCTAGTTAAATTATTCATAAACCGGAGCATGTTAATGAACTTCTCAAGAACAAATATGGTTAGAGGGGGAGACAAAGAGCAGCATAACATCACCACGCTTTTTGAAAATAGGTTTAGAAATGTCAATTCAATCTTATACTGATGAATTCCCTCAGATGCTGATTTTACAAAATTCTAGTGTGCTTGACTTTGTTGATTGACTTCGCGCGGGCAATACGAGTGGCACAGATTACTTAACTTCATATCATAAAAACAGGGTGCATATATAGACTGCATAACTTTGAATAATACACATATTGGCTTTAATTACTGAGAAACGACATTGGCACTACCTCACGGATTATCTATTTCTTCAACCATACACCAACCATCTTCAACTTGATTCCATTCAAACCCAACTTCGCAGAAACTTATTTTATCGTCATCGTCTTCTTCACCATCCTTGTCGAGGCCTTCATCATTTTCATGTTTTGATCCGTCCGCAGCTGGGCTAATGAAATGATCGCCATGGTCATAAACATCACGTTCACGTTCCAATTCATCATCACTTCCAGTTTCGCATTCATCGTCATTGTAATCCTTGTAAGCATGTGCCAAATGATCCGCTAACCCCGTGGCAGAGAGCCCGGAATAGTTCAAACCGGGCCGCCCGTCCACGACCTGCCAAGAGATCAAGCGGTGACTCGAGACAACGTCGAATGACTTGTTTTTGTTGGTCCCTTTGGTCTTGTCCTTGGACTTACAGGCTGGGTGCAAGTGGCAACCGACACACCGTGGCCTAGTGCACTTGCCGGTGAACTTGGAGTGATTGGTCGGCCTCGACGGAACTTTTGTGAACAGCCCAGCTGCTGGGGGCGAATCGAACCTGTTGACAAACCTGGAGTTGGGTCTCGGGTCCCAAGGGGCCGGCAGAATCCGGTAGCATCGGACCATGCCGTGTTGGCGACCCTCTCTCTTCATGTTTGTGGAGGATGAACTGTGGGCTTGAAGGAAGGAAGGAAGGAAGGAAGGAAAAGGAAGGAAGAATGGTTGATGAAAGACAACTGGATATGAACGTTGCTTAAATAGAGTTTGGTTGGAGAGAGGGAGAAAGCGATTACTTGAGAAGCAAGGAGTTTGATGGGTCGACAGTGCTTGTGGAATAAGTTAATAGAGGAGTCACAGCAAACAATTGATAAAGAAATAAGAGGGAACTTGACAGAGCATCCTTTTTTGACTTTTATTAAAGTGGATAGCAGGAGGAACCAGGAAGCAGTACATCTTTCCAAAATGAATTAATTTTAAATTAGAGGAATTTCCATTATTGAATAAAGAAAAATGCTCATAGTAATTGACAATGGAAACAAAAACTTAAAAGGAAAAAAAAAGTTGATTAGGACATGAAAGAAGATTAAAATAGAACCACAGAATTTCTTATATAAAAAATTTAAAGATGGCTTTGCAAATTAAAAACCCTTAAAAGTTTCATTAGTTTGAAGCCATATGAGCACAATAATGGTGAAGTGATTGATAGCAAATATTTCGGGTTTCTTTTAAATGAAATTCAGAATATAACAGACAAAAAAAAAAAGAGAGGGAAAGGATCTGGAAGCAGAGGAGACTTTCTTCAGCAAAAGCAAAGCGCGTTCAACATGAGAAAATTCACTATGATGCACAGTAAATCAGCTTGAACCACACTCTCCATCTTCTTTAGAAAAAAGGGAAAAGTTCTAGTTTTCGTCCATGTAATTACACCACTTATCAAATCAAGTTTCTATGCTTTCTATTTATCTAATTAAGTCCTTCCACTCACACAAAATATCTAATCAACTCCCTCTGGCGCAAAATCGACTAGACCCAATTGACATGGTAATCCGAGGACGTCGGAGTGCGACGTTGGCTAAATTTTGCCTACATGGACAACCATTATTCATTTGTTTTTAAATATTTATTTGATATTCTCCCACTCATCCTCTATCCACAATGGGTTTCGATGTGGACAATATTTAATTTACATCAAGCTCTAGCATCCACATAAGTTGAATTTGGCTGAAAGTGTTGGATGGACTTGATTAGACGTGTCAGGTAACTCAATGATTTGAGTAGGAAAATTGAAGGCATAAGAACGGAAGGTAAAATATTTCCTTAAAAACAGATTCCTTCATAATTTCCTTAGCATGTGGGTTCAAGTATTAATCTTTCCCCTTTTATATTTACTTTCTATAACTCTTGACAAATCCAATCTGCAAATCCATCACTTCTATGAAAAGGAACAATTTTCACCATATCTGAACAAGCTCTTTCACAGGAACAATATATACAAGATCATTTTCTTGCAAAACAATGCAAGATGCGAACAAACTACACTCTGTGACTCGACAGATCGGGCATTTTGATCCTCGCATGATACGACCAGATGATTGAGGGTCAAAGAAGAAAAAGAAGCTTCCCAGTTTTTGTTTCTATATGCATATCTCCTTCAAATGCTTCAGAATCATGAGTTCTATGCGCACGAGGACTTCTAGTTCGTGATAGCAGCAAAATGGTCGATTGATAATTCTTTGTAGCACATGGCAACTTAACTTCAAACCTCTTCTGACTGTGACTCATCAGTGGACTTGACCAATGGCTCTTCGGCATCCTTACTTGCCTTTGGAATAACTGGCGATTTCTTGGCAGGATAGAGAACATAGTGTTGAAACATGAAAAGCAGGTCAAAGAATATAGATACCTGCAACACCAAAGAAGATTAAATCCATACCCTCAACCCATCCCATTTAAATTGCAGAAGAAAACTAATGCATGGAAGTTATTTTTTTGCCGAAATTTGTTAGGATAATTCTTTGCAGCATTTTTTGAGATGGAAAAAGACCTCGAAGAATCCTATAACAAGTCTACTAAGTGAGATTAAACACGGATGACCTGGAAGAGATAACAGAAACGTAAAGCCACAGAGAATGTTCATACCAGAGAAAGTAACGTCTTCCCAATATTCCCATAGAAGTTGACCCAAGAATCTGGAAGAAAAAAAGGTTCAGTATAACATTATGCACATTTATCAAGATTAGGTAACAAGAATACTTCATTGGATAAACAACAGCATACTTTGGTCAATAGACTGCACTGCCATCTGTGCATAGTTTGCAACGCCACCGAGAAAATCAAGTAAAATGTTGCCTATGCTGAATCCATCTGTGCTTTTTCGTCCAAAGTTCATAAATGCCTACATTCAATATGTTAATTTGTCAGCAAACTGTGATAATATCTCTAAACTCACTTCAGTGAGGGAAAAGGAACATAATACTGAGAGAGGGAATGAAAAGAATGTTCTGCATCCTGGAGAAATGGACCATACATTCAACTCGAACTTAGATAATACCAATGCTATATCATGCAGATGATGTTGACAGAACAAAGAAGAGAAAACCCTTAGAACAAAGAGTATCAAATAACTCAGCTATCAAAATCAGTGTGAAAGGGAAATTAATTGTCTGACCTGAGGAATGTACTTGATAACTGTCATAAACACTTGAATTGAGCTGCAAAATAATAAGGTCACTTAAAATTAGACATAACATATACTGACTTCTGGAGGAAATCCATGACATAAGAGTGGCTATAATTCAAAATCAGTTTTGCGATTTAAAGGGCCAAAAGAGAGATGATCTTGCTGGCTCAATTGCATGAGAGATTCGACTAGCTGAACAAGATTATAGACCGAGGGCAAAGGCAACCTCGTCAAAAAAATAAACTCAGTTTTAAATTACCGCATCAGTAAACAATTAGCTGAGAGCCTGCGTTTCTGCTGAATTATCTCAATCTTTCTAGCACTTATCGGATGTGTGCAATGACAATTAAGTTCGCTTCAAAAGAACATAGACTTTCTCCTAACTAAAGTTAAAAGAACTAATGCATGTTCTGAAACCTTAACATTCCATGGTGACAAGAGCAATTTCATACAAGCAGTTGATTTTGAGCAAGTCCACAAATTGAGAAGGACTTTAACACAAAAAGATAGGTTCCAACCATCAACAAATTCACCATAGAAAAAATGATAGGTGACACCAACAGTTGCATAACAACTTACTTGAAAATGGAGATGAGCCAAAGCCAAGAATGATTTGGTAAGGCCATGAAAAAGCAGACTGCAGCGGTCAACCACACAGCAGAGACAATTCCTAGTGAAATCTTAGAGATTTTCTGACTGCCACGCTGTTCAACGGAAAAGAGAGCAAATGGAGGAAGGTTAATTTTCAACATCAAGATCTTCTAGTGGTGAGTCAAAAAGGGAAAGAGAACCGAGAACAGAGTAACTGCTTACATCATAAATTGCAATTTGGAACAATGTTATTGCAGTTAATAGAACGGCATGTATGGAGAACGCAACGTCATTTGCAGCCACGGGGATCATCTATAATGAATAGAAGATCGTAAGCATGAAGAAGAATCTCTTTAAGATGCATCATAATCCAGAAGTTAGAATCGCAAAGAGCTCTCGGTAGCATGTAACTGGCCCTCTTAGTTCTCATACCACATCACAAGCACTGTCCCAACTTTAAAAAAATACCAGAAACAATATAACATCTTGGAAAACAAGAGCAAACAGTATCGTACCATTTTTAGTACCAAAACAAACGTCCAATCAAAAGGACCCCAAAATATGAAATCCACATCAACTATAAGTTGATCCTCACAGGGTTGGTATGAGAAGGGGACACCAATAGAAGCAGGACAATAAAACTCCATAAGCAACTATTCAATGTACAAATAAACCACAATTCTAGACCAAGCTATATGAGCATTTCTTCAGCTCTTTGTGTGCTGTATATCACTTTCAATTTTCCGATAGATAGACAGTAATGCAAAGAGAACAAGAGCTGGAGTGAGGCCTCATATCAACATATCTCATCCACTGGCTTACTAAAGAGCAAGGGAAAGAGAAGCTTCATATTTTCTTTTCCTCTGAATTTGAAACTTCCATTGATCATTTCCAAGCAATCATCACATCAGGCAACACAGTTTAGTTATTAATCTTGAGCGCTTTATTCGATGGACATCTGATTTCATGTTCTAAGAACAATGATTAACCACCACTACATGTTTTTGAACGAGATTACTTCACCATCACAGGATTTGTCCTGTAACTTATTGACTCACGAAAGTCCCGAAGGGATATAGCCGATACATAACATCTTACTTCCTCTATAAGATCTCATCAACAACCAGTGACTAGCTACTCCTACCATCCGACAGAATCATCAAAAACACATTTTGATCACAACCCTCTTCACAGCATCAACGGAAGATTGAAAAATGATTGAGAACCCAACCTGTCCGAAGCCGTACTTCTCATAATACTGCCTCTGCACAGCGGCACTGAAGTAGAGGGTCACGTTGTATATCAGGTACGACGAGTGCTTCGTCAAATTCAGCACGACGAAATCGAAATTCAGACCCACAACACTGCCGATTACACCACGAGACAAAACAAGAAAACAGAGGCCTAAGACAAATTCCGAAACTTTCCTTACTGGAAAAAATCCTTGAGAAAGTCGAGATTTTGAGGGTACCTTTTCCTTCGGAAGTTCAAGATGACTTGTGGGTAGAAGCTGATGGACCAAGAGAAGAAAGCCGTCCATCCCAGAACCTGGTACAGCACCTCGAGAGGCGTTGAATTCCACGAAGCCATCTCTCTCTCTCTCTCTCTCTCTCTCTCTCTCTCTCTCTCTCTCTCTACACCTTCAAGCTTTTACCAGTTCCCCAAAGAAGAAACGAAGGAAGGGATGAAGGAGCTGCAATTATGGCTCCGAGATTTTCCGATCGTCTCTTACGGTGGAATCTCCGAAGGCGCCGAGGAGAATTTTTCGTTGGAATCTGTCCGAGCGATTTTGGCTGTTGAATTGAACGAGGTTGCGTCACGAAATTGGCCAGGAACCGGTGAAGACTCGCTTTCTTCGGTTTGGCTGACGTGGAACAGCGCGATTGGTTGGTCGACTTTACCGTTTTTCCTTTTAATAGAACGGTTGGTTTCTAATTTCTAATTTTATTTTTTGGCCTCCATACGCCAAAAAGGAGATGAATTTCACCACCAGAAAAAGAAATAATTGAAAGAGAGATTCACAGGACAAAAGCAACCTCTGTGACACATTTATTCTAAAAAAAATTTCATAACACAAAAAATTTTAAATTTATATTTGTGCGACACATTTACACCGGACAACAAACAATCTTGTATGGCGCCGCCTACGGAAATGTCGGAAAGTAGATAGTATTGTCATGGACGAAATAAAAACGACGTTGTTTTAATTGACTGGAAAATCATCTAATAAATTATTGGCGGAAGGTAAATGTATCATACGAGCAAAAGTTTGGAGTTTTTTTATATCACAATGAGCATATTTTGAGATTTTTGTGTCCCTTTTTTTCCTGTCTAAAAAAAGACTTCTCGTTTTTCCAATTCAAGAAAACTAAACCTCGACGGAAATAGAAAAGAGTCCCATGAATTCTGGTGCTGTGGACAAGAGACGTGTCTGTCTGCAACTTCCCAAAGCTAGGGACGAGGACTCGTCCAGATGCGCGGGACGACGCTTCCCATGGACAACATCGCCGTCCAGATTCGTCCTTTCGTCCTAAGTGTTCTTGTCCTCTTCCAATGAGTAGCTCAGCAGCAAGATTGCTTGCCCTGTTGCAGCAACAAAGAAAAAAATCCGAAAAAAACCCAAAAAAAGAAAGGAAGGTTTTGTGTTATTTTCAGTGTTCCTGCAGGTACGGTGGTCCAGTCATCAGCTGCCAACAGGCTCTGGAGTTTCCCCATCACTTCTTCAAACAACGGTACCCGACCTTTTGCTCTTTTTTTGTTTTTCACCCCCCTAATTTTCCCCTTATTCCTATTTTGACCCCCTTCCAAGTTCTGAATTGTGATCATGCCAACGTTTCAAGTCATTCTACTCAGCACATGGATAAGCCGAAAATACTACACAGAAGGACCGCCGATTGACGAGTCCCGCAACAGGTGATACAAGAACAGGAAAGACTACTCAAGAATATGGGGAATAGAGAAATTCACATTTCGTGAGGGATCACGTTAACGAATAATTACCCTCTTAAAATCTTCATTCTCGATGCAATGATTATACGTGACATGAGAGAGATAGTGTTTGGAAATGATAATATTTCCTCATCTGGGTTTTTTAACAAATGATCCGGGACACTCGTTTTGTGAGATCAACCGTGTAGACATTTTAATGAGGTACTCCATGGTGGAAGATCCGTTGAGACGATTGGATGAAGTAGTTGAGAAGGACAATGCTTTTGTTTCAAAACCAGAAATCACTTTAGATATGGATGGTCATTGTTGTTGATGAATCGCCCACCCGCTGGCCATTATGGTTTATATATAGACAACCGTAGGATTCATAGAATGTTGAATCCAAGTATCAAATACAGTCTATCAATCACTTTTCATTATAGATATGTCATGACAAAATAATATTAGGCTAGGTGATTGTCGCATATCACATCTGCAGTTGATATGATGCACGAGGATCAACTGTAGCACGTCACACATTCCTCAAATCCACCGTTTCGAATTAAGACGATGATGTTTGTAAATTACTCAATGCTCAATCGAAAGAGTGCTAAACTAAGTGGCAAAATAAAAATAAAATACTAAACTGCCAAAAACCCAAACATAGAGCTGTTGTGCACTTGGCTCCAATCCCATGATGTCCTTCGTTAGACCTTGAGAATCGTTCTGTCAATTCCTCCGTTTTCTAATTTTGGATCTCTGCTGTTTTGTCTCTCTTCTCTGTCTCATTCTTGCTCTCTCTCTTTCCCTTTCCTTCTCCTCTCTTCATTCTTTTCTCTGCATCGGCAATTTCAAGTTTGAAGAAGAATATATCAAGGAATATGTCGACGGTATGATCCATTCCTCTGTGTTACCATTCCATTTTGCAGTCTTTTTCTTGCGTCATCATCCATCTTTGACACTTGTTCATGATGAAAAGTCGCATCTTTTGATGTTAAATTGCAGTTCTTGAGAGGTGCACATTTGTTTTTTGGCATTGCAATATTTGTTAGATCATCAGGTGGTCTGTGTATGATTCGTTCTTGAATATTTCTGAAGAAAAATGATGAATGACTCAAACCGCGCTGTTTTCATGTTCAAGTTGATCAAGTCGGGCGATGACATTACAAATATTGCTCACATTTTATGTCGGTCCTTTTGCAGCAGGATCAGGGCCGGTCCTTGCCGAAATTTGGTGAGTGGGACGTGAACAATCCTGCTTCCGCCGAAGGTTTCACTGTCATATTTAGCAAGGCCAGGGACGAGAAAAAATCCCCTAATGGAGCTGTCGAAAACGGGCCGGTGTCGCAGAGAAACGACAATGCGTCAAAGCGGGAAGGAGCATATCCTCCCGTGGTAAGCCGTTTCTTATCACGATTTGTATACATGTTCATATATGACAGCCTTCAATCACATTCAGATCTCCACTATTGTCTTTGATGTTTTCCTTTCGGTTGCAGAAGAAACGGTGGTGCTGCTTCTGAGTCCTTGCTTTAGCCAGAGAATTTAAGATGTTTTGTGTGACGACGACACCCGTGACATTCATAGCCGCCCTTATGATGGCGGCGCCGAGACACTCAATTTGATCAAGTGCCATCGCCATCTCATTAGAAATCTATGTTACTTGGAGATTCATTGTTCTAAATGTTATACATATATACATATATATAGGAGGGAGAAAACAATGTAGCCATCATAGAAGAGCGGCGCCCCTCGCGAATGTTCTTTTTTGTACAGTCTCCAGATCTTAGCAAGTCCTTTTAAGGATTTTCAGATGTTCACTTGTTTCAGCAAGGTTGTATGCTGAATAATTCTGCAAATGAATTCGCATTTGAGACAATCTGAAGCATCATTCTGCAAAAAGCAGTAAATTGTGCCGAATGTTCGATTGATGACTACCAAATTGATTTTGTTTTATCAGTTTCTGTTGCGCATACACTTTGTGCTTAAAATCCTAGCCGAGTTGGCTCCGGTAGGAAATGCATACAAGCAACATATGGGGGATTTTTCGACATAAGTCTGTTATGCGTTTATATTGAGGTGAAGATGGCAGCAATTGGAACAACACTATTATCATAAAGTTTCAAGCAGTACGTAACAGAACAATCTGAAACAAATTGTAACAGCTGAAACAGACCTACGAATAAACAAAATGGACAAACTGAAGACTAGAAAGACACGGAACACATGAAGTAGCACCTAAACTCGGCACACGACATTGACAACGGAAACTAGAACAGACGGGAAGTGACACGACAGAACAAACAGAATGAACCCGAGCTTGGAGAAATCAGCAGCATAGGAAGCAGAAGAAGAAGAGGAGGATGATGAACTTCTACTTCCGCTGCTTGCCTCGGACTCCTCGGAAGACAACACCTTCACGATCATGCGCTGTCCTCTCTGGCAGTGGCCAGAGACTCCGCTGATGAAGTAGAAAGGCCCCGAGTGGTCAAGAGCATAGACCGTGTTACCGGTGTTGGAGAAGAAGCTCGGACGGGTGGAGTTGCACTTCTTGTACTCGGCTTCGCTCACTTCCATCACTGAATCCTTCTTGTACTTAAAGCCTGAGAAATCCGAAAACTTATCTTTTAGAAAGGATCAACTGCTTTCACAAGTTCGCTCTTTTTCCGGTAAATCTTGTACAAGGTTCACTGAAACAAAAGTAATACTACAGATCGGGGTAAAATGTATGACAGACGCTACAGAATAACATATGATGCTGAAGAAAGACCCCTAATTTTCAGCAATAAGTGTATGTTAACGAGTCCTAGAGTGAAACATAGTGTTGAACTCACGGAGGGTGTCGCCCGGTCGGAACCGGTTCTCGGATGCCCAGTCATTGTAGACCTTGCTGTCATTCGCAGGAGGTACGACCCAGCCCTCAGCTCCTCCAACTTGGTAGTCGAACCCCATAACCGTGGAACACTGAAGAGCACAAAAGACGAACATGGTCATCATCAAAAAAAGAGTTGAAGCAGCCATTCTGGGCAACTCTGCAAAGACGGAACTACTTCTTTTCTGTGGCTATATATTCAACTTCGTTGGGTTTGTCTCCAAAATGAACAATGATGAAGTTGGTGAACTTTAAACAGAACTATGTGAATGTGAGAAAGAGAGTCGGTTACTGCAGAGAGAGAGAGAGAGAGAGAGAGTTGGAGGTGGACAATGTGGAGATAGTGGGAGGCGACGGTTTGCTACAATTTTTTGACTCAGTCAGCCTCGTCAGTTTTGTAGCTCATCAGTTGCAGACAAGTAGAAGAAACCATATGTTGTCTTGCACGTTTGGAGATTATTAAGGGATCATATTCATCTTCAAACTACCAAAATCTAAACTGTCTTTCATGATTGTGTGATATTCATCCTAGTGCATTTGCTTTTAGAATGCTTTCTCTTGTAAAAAATCTCTCAATTGGGCATTGATATATCACAGAACTCAACTCACGACTCTAGTCATTTGCCACAATGGTCAATCGTTGGATTCTTGTTATCTATCTAACAATACAACACTGAATCAATGTGGATTTAGAACAAAAGGTGAATAAGAAAACAACCAAAATTCAACTTGCAATAACGCTGGTATTTGTTAAAAGACGGTACATCTCTACGACAGAACAATAAGCTTTACCTACTACTGTTGTTTATAGACAAATGAAGAAGAGGATTGAAAAACAATAGTTTAATATTTCTGTAATTGTGGCAAAAAAAGAAGAAAAAACTAGTGCCGTGCAAGTGATCTCCATAAATTGAAATAAGCAACTGAATACATAAATGTACACGAGAATTCACTTCATCTTTTCATGAGATGGTTATAACCTACAATGAAAGTGGAATATTAACTCATGGCTGAGACCTGCTACTTTATATCTCTCCTCATTTGCAACCCGATTGAACTCTTTTGACTTCCATTGAATCGAGAAAAACAGCGCCCTCTTCCATCCGTCACAGTGTCTCGGTCCGGCATTGCATCTGTTGAGGAACTTGCAGAACAAGCAGACACTAGCCACACAGCAAGCGATTGTCATAATTTTCCAGCTTATACAAAACAAAGATGCCATTCAATATGTAACCCTCTTCTTTTGTTTTGATCACAACAAATTGTTCTTTATGGCTGACATGACACTAAAATGTAAAGTCATATAACATCGTGGAAACAAAATAAGTAAAGGTGAATAAGCAATTTACAGAAGGAACTATACATCTTGAGGAAATTGAGACCTAGAATGTGCTGTCACACCGCTTCAATATCTCGCGCAGCGACCTGTTCTGGCTCTTGTTCGGAACCCGGATGCTTTGTTTTGCTCTTGAAGGACTTCTGGCTGAGCAAACGGACAAATAGACTCCTCGACTTTGTAAACTTTTGGGGCTCACCTTTAGTCGATTTGCTTCCAAATTCCTTCTTTGCAAGATCTTCAGACAAAATCTTCACAAGAGTGTCGAAATGACGCCTAAAAGTTGGATACCTTGAAATGGACTTGGTAATTCCTTGAAGCCTTCATCGACAAAACAAAGTTTTCAATGATTGCTGAACTAAACTAGCACAAAAGAAAACCTTGATTTCATGCATGTTTTGATTTCTTTCTTCATGCATTACCTTCGAGCTAATCCGTCAAATTCAGCTCTTTTGAGCTCGGATTCTGGAGGCGAGCCAACTGATGAATTTCTTAACCTCACAGGTTCGCCACTTAACAGAACGAGCTTGCCTAGATACTCATCTTCATCGGTGGTAAGGTTTTCAGCTTTGATCTGGTCTTTGATGATCAAAAGGGGATTCAGAAACCAATCGAAGAAGACATCTTTGGGTCTGTTCGTAACGGTCAGTTCCATGACATCGTCGCCTGCACCATCGCCTGCATTATCAGACGAATAAAACCTTCTCTTCTCTACGCAGACAAAAATTTTCAGGCTCATTCATTTGAATATCTACTGACTAAGTGCAATAAATGAGAAGTTTAACTTACCCAGCAAGATTCCTGCAGAATTAGCTTTTGCTGATCTCAAGAGTGTTTGGAAAATGCAATAAGCTGGCAAGCCAGTGCTAAGCACTCGGCTGCCACTATCTGACTTTGCATCTTCAATGTCTTGGGGTGTTATCAGTCCTTCAGAGACCATGCGCTCTCCATGGCGTTGAATTTCTTTGAAAATGTAACGAAGCAACTGTAAGAGGACCAATTTCATTTAGCTTCAAGCCAATCGCATGAGAATTAGGGAAGTGAAGCAAGAGCAACACCTGTAAAGGTGCTCACCAGCTCATTCCTTGGTGACGCAAATAAATTTCCCATGTCTAACAGGATATTCTTCCACGCTATTAATTAGCCAAACAGTATCGACCATCAATAAGAAAATTGAAAACGAAAAACTTTCAGAAGGCTCCAAACTATAAAGTACATATGAGGGTGTATGACAGATTTTTTTGTTTTTTTGGCTTTACTTTCACAAGCATGACGCTGATTAAACAAAGAAAGAACAACATAAATCTTTTTAACAACAGTTAGGGAGAAAGGATTGGAAAGAAAATAACCTCCAGTGGCTTCAAATCGATCAGATGACTTTTAAATGAAACTGTACGAGATGGAGGATTCCTAGTAGAACCAGACCCAGCAAGAGAAGTCGCGAAAGAGCTGGTCCTTGCTAGCTGGGAATTCCTCCTATACTTCAGCCTGTCAAGACCCGGAATACAGTAAGTGCATATGTCATTAGCATGCAGTTTTCAATCAAAAATCACAGGCACGGTATGCAGAACCTAGGGAACAAGGACCCTTCTGACATATCAAGAATGTCATTGCTGTACTCGTCGTAAATGGACAGGGACGCAATAATGTAGCAAAGCCCCAACCACAATGAAGATTCCTGTCAATTCAAACCTTAAAGCATAAATGATAAGAATCTCCGACGACCATAAAATTTAACCTCCACAACTGAAAACTTCACTTGCACTGGGCCTGCCAGCAAGCTTTTATAAAGAATAGAAGCTTTATAATGTTTTCACAGGAATGTACCAAAGAAATCAGAAGAACGGGTCTAACCTGATAAGCAACAACCCCAGCATAGGCGCCAAGAAACATACTTGACACAATGGATCCCAAGACTGCTCCAACAACAGCCATTGGCCAGAGTATGATAGCTAGGCCCGCAAATGGAACACATATCGTTTCCAGGAAAGGGCCTTCACGACCAATGAGATCGTGGAAGAGACGATGCCAACCCTTGAAGAGCATGTAAGGGCTTTTGCACAGGGCGATTAGTGAAATCAGAGGCATGTCAACAATGAAGCCAAGCACTCCAGCAAGAATAGCACCCGGAAGATATAACACTCTGCAATCACATTAAGCAACAATTAGTCTTATTCTTCCTTTCTGTTTCTGCAGTATCTCAATAGGAATTCTGCTCTTACGAAATCATCTATGTTCCTCATGAGCATAAGTTTCCTTTTTATGAACTTATTTCAATATATAAACAGAAAATTCATCATATCATTTGCTCATTAAGACAGGGACAATGCTTTTACTCACTCCTCTATTTGTGTATATCAATTTCAGAGGGAAGTGCAAAAATCGAGATTTGGAGCATAACAATTAATTAAGCTCGTCCATAAGGATAAGGTCAAGATTTCATCACATAAATGCAAACAAACCATGTATTATTGCCTAGAACTTTTGCTGACATCAATGCATTCAGTAAGCACAAACGACCTTATGAAAAAATTTCTTTAAAAGGACACAAAGGGAAGAGAGAGAGAGAACAAAGTGGACCTAATCTCATAGTATTTCCTTTCTGGAGGTTCTTGATGCCATAAGTCATCCATAATCGAGAAGTAGGAATGAAAGCAACAATCCCAAAAGTCTCTGACAATTGTGAAGCTCCTTTGTATAGTGCTCCAAGTTCCATCCTGAAATTTTTCAGGGAAGTGGATAATTTCTGATTTTGGAGATGAGCTAGAGAAAACTCAAACTAGTAATTCAAATGATAAGAACATCTCATGTCATCACATACATAAAAGCAGTGGAAACATTTATTGGTCTTTCCTTCTCCAATTGCTTCAAAAGTGGCAAATATTGGTGAGAAAAAGCCATATGCAGCTCCACCTACGAAACTTCCAGCAATAGCGACTACCGGCCACACAATTAAGGGAGCAGGTATGCATATGAAGAGAATGAGCTTCAAGATGGGGCCTAATTGTTTAGCTCTATTCATAGAGAAACAGAAATTAAAGCAATGAGTTTTCTTTTTCAGGGACAATAATTCGGAATAATTGGGAAATGCTTCAGGAAATCACCTGAAAACAGAATAGCATGTCCAGAAGGCATGCACCGGCCAAAGACCCAATGTGATACCAGAATTTCCGACAGTCAAGATTAGACATGCCAAAGGGCAGAAAATGATACCTGAAAATTCAAAGGAAGAGACATGGCTCAGATGATATCTCAAGCTCACAACTCAAACTTACTGCAGTGCAGGGTTGCCGCGTTAACCAATAACTAGACTTGTAAGAAATGAATAATCAATAGACTCATTTCTGGCATCACAAGACTAAAATTATTTTTCTTCTTTTTCTTGGCCAACAAAAAAGACTGCAACTCTATCCCAACAACCCATTGTGCGTGATCGTTTTCCTTTTTCTACCTTCCTCTTGTGTAAATAAATGAATGCCAAAATTATACAACTTGGCAGCAGAAGCTTGCATCGTTGTAGAAGAATTCATGGGTGGAAATAAGATACTTTTCGCTTACCAGACCTTTGCAATAAACAACGTTATCAGAAAGCAAAATAGAAGCACCAATAGGCAATTTGCAACAAGCAGCAAGCAAACTCAAGTAACAGAATTCATCCTAAAAACCAAGCTAGTGCATCTATGACTAAATTTCCTTTTTAAAAAACTTGCCCTTTATCGCAAACAATTGGTTTAACTGTATGATCAGATTCGTTATCAAAGAAGATGTCATGGAAACAAGAAGGGACAGAGGGAGCAATCTCACCTTTAATATTGCCCAGCAATAAAAGCCCAGTGAAGTAAGGCAAGAAGCAAATGAAATCCCATAGAGAAGCAAGAACTCCCCTCGGAGGCTCCATGTTTCCTCCTACTCAACACTCCCCTACAATTTTCTGCGAATCATTCAGAACCCAAATCCCGCACTTAATCCCAAGCTCCTACCTGCAAAGACGAGAGGACAATTTTGGAGATACCCGAATCACCAAACAAAGAGCTGAGAACACAACGAGAAAGTAACCAGAAGATACCCGAGAAAGTTAAAGGCAAAATTCACGAGCCCAAGATAAGGAAATAACCCGAAAACCTGGATTTAGCTCTGAACGAACGAACGAACGAACGAAGAAGTTCTAGATCGAGACGCAAGCCCGTGAATCTCTATTGACAGCAGTTACTGTCATAACTGCTGTCAATAGAGAATCAGCACATGAAACAGTTGAATTCCTTCTCCTTTTCACGCCCTTTCCTCTCCTGCAAATGGCTACCGCAATTGGAAGCAGCGAGTTCAAGACGAGTTGATAAAGAAAGAACAATTTCTTTTTCCTTTTCGGCGTTGACGTTGCGGATGACAACACAACCTGGACCAAACAAATGGGCGACAACGTTACTCGAAATGCCCGGCCGCAGCCAAATGACTGTTCTTTAATGTAAAAAAAAGCCAAGCTTTCGCTGGAGAACATCGCGTACGCTGTTGGGAGTGGCGGACAAGAAGCAGCTGTCACTGCGAAAAAAGGTTTCTTTTTTATCCCCACACAACTGTCTAAGATGCCCGGATTATCTTAGATATATAAATTGATTCGAAGCAATAAATTCTGATCTATTCATTACATTTGTTAATTGAAGTGAAGTTATAGGGCAAGGTAACCCAAGAAAAAGCACATAAATGAGAAACATATACTACGTACAAATAAAGAA